GTCTACTGAGTCTGCTGAGTCTGCGTCTGCTGCGTCTGCGTCTGCCTGTCCTCTGTCCGTCGGGGGTGACTGTGCTCTTGGCACGGACGTCCTTGAGGACAGGCAGGAGGAGTTCCAGTGCTTTGCCGCCGCTTTGCCCCATCTCGTGTCCATGCTTGTTGCCCCTGAGGGAGACCCGGATGCTCTAGACATCCCGACCCCACGCTCTTACGCAGAGGCGATGGCCGGTCCCTACTCCTCTCAGTGGCAGTCAGCCATGGACGCATAGATGGCTTCCTGGAAGTCCACAGGCACCTACGTTGACGCTGTTCCCCCTCCTGGGGCGAACATTGTCAGTGGCATGTGGATTTTCAGGGTGAAGCGGCCGCCGGGTTCTCCGCCTGTCTTCAAGGCGCGCTACGTGGCTCGTGGCTTCAGTCAGCGACAGGGAGTTGACTTCTTTCAGACCTTCTCCCCGACCCCGAAGATGACCACTCTTCGGGTTCTACTGCACGTCGCTGCTCAGCGTGACTACGAGCTACACTCTCTTGACTTCAGCACTGCTTTCCTGCAGGGCCGCCTGCACGAGGAGATCTGGCTGCGCCGCCCTCCTGGCTTCACTGGGTCGTTCCCTCCCGGTACCCAGTGGAGCCTCCGGCGGCCAGTCTACGGTCTCCGCCAGGCGCCGCGTGAGTGGCACGACACACTGAGGACTACACTTGCGGCTCTTGGGTTTGCTCCTTCTACTGCCGACCCGTCGCTGTTTCTGCGCACCGACACCTCGCTGCCGCCGTTCTACATCCTCGTGTACGTCGACGACTTGTTCTTTGCCATTGCGGACACTGCCGCACTCGCCCACGTGAAGTCCGAGCTGCAGAAGAGACACACGTGCACAGACCTGGGTGAACTGACAAGCTATCTTGGCTTGCGGATCACCCGGGACAGAGCACGCCGCACCATTACCCTGACTCAGTCACACATGGTGCAGCAGGTCCTTCAGCGCTTCGGCTTCACGTACTCCTCGCCTCAGGCCACTCCTCTGCCTACGGGACACTCGCTCTCAGCTCTGCCTTCGGATGAGTCCGTAGAGTCGAGTGGTCCGTATCCAGAGCTTGTGGGCTGCCTCATGTACCTGATGACTTGCACTTGACCTGACCTCTCATACCCTCTCAGCATCTTAGCACGCTATGTTGCTCCCGGCCGTCACCGGAAGGAGCACATGGATGCAGCTAAGAGGGTGTTGCGCTACTTGTGCAGTACGTCGGGCATGGGGCTAGTGCTTGGAGGGCGTGAGCGGCCTGTGCTCACTGGGCACTCAGACGCTTCTTGGGCTGACGACCAGGCTACTCAGAGGTCGTCTCAGGGTTACACCTTCAGTCTTGGCTCTGGCTCTGTCTCTTGGCGCTCTACTCGCTCTTCTTCGGTTCTCAGCTCCAGCTGTGAGGCTGAGATCTACGCCACGGCCATGGCTGCCCAGGAGCTTCGCTGGCTCACCTACCTGCTGACTGACCTTGGAGAGCGGCCTCGTTCTCCTCCAGTACTGTACGTCGACAACAAGGCAACCATTGCCTTGTGTGAGGAGCACAGACTGGAGCATAGGACGAAGCACATTGCTCTGCGCTACTTCCTTGCTCGAGAGCTGCAGCAGCGTGGTCAGCTTCGCCTGCGTTTCGTGGCCACTGAGGCCAACACTGCTGATGTGTTCACCAAGGCACTTCCGCCTCGTGACCATCAGCGCTTTTGCACTCTGCTAGGCCTTATGCCCACTGGGCCTCACTTGCTTACCTCTTGACCTTGCTTGTACTGCTGCATATATATATCCTTGCTCTTGCTTGTTTAGCACTGTTATATATATATGCTCTGCTGCATGTGAACTGGCCTTGTGGCCTTGACCTTGTGCTCGGAATTTGTGTGGTATCCTTGAGATCCACCCTGATCTTGCTTTGCTTTGCTTTGCTTTGCTTTGCTTTGCTTGACTGGTCTTGTGACCCCTTGCTCTCCCCCACTTTGCCTATGGTGGTGTGTCAGATGATTATATTACTGATGCATATATTTAGGCTGTAGTGGGGTAGCCCATAGGGGGTACAACCCAATTAGGGTTGGTACTTGTACTTGTTTCATTTCATAGTGCACTCATTCCTCGCCTCTATCTCAAGAGTACACAGTGATGCATTTCGGGCTAACCAACGCGCCTGCAACATTTCAGATGACCATGAACGAGGCGTTTAGGCCACTCTTAGATAAATGCGTGATAGTTTACCTCGACGACATTCTCGTTTACAGTCGGGACCAGCAGCAGCACTTAATAGATCTCGAAGCAGTTTTTAAAATTTTAGAGGCACATCGGTTATTAACCAAGGGCTCCAAGTGCGAGTTTTTTCGGGACAGGCTAGAATTTTTAGGATACGTTATTTCGGAGGCTGGGGTTGAGATTGACCCTAAGAAGCTGGATACCGTAAAAGCGCGGCGTCCCCCGACGAACATCACGAAACTACAGAGTTTTTTAGGATTCGTTAATTACGTTCGTCGGTTCGTCCCCGACATGGCACGCTTAACAACCCCTCTCACTGATTTACTGCGTAAGGGGGTCGTTTTTACGCGGGGGGAGAAAGAGCATGCTGCCTTCTCTGCCCTGAAAACTGTTCTCTGTTCACCACCCGTCCTTCGCATCGCTGACCCACATCGCCCCTTCGAGGTTGTTACCGACGCGAGCGACATCGCCATCGGAGCTGTACTGTTACAGGACTTCGGCAACGGCCTCCAACCCATCGCCTACGAATCACGCAAACTGCATCCACCTGAGCGAAATTACCGGATACACGACCGCGAAATGCTCGCGATCGTGCATGCATTCAAAGTGTGGCGCTGCTACTTGACCGGCGCAGACGTGACAGTACGGACAGACCATCGATCCCTACAGTACCTTCGTGCACAGCCCCACCTCAACCCACGACAGATTCGGTGGCTCGACTTTCTCGAGTTGAATTTCCATTATACGGTCACCTATAAAAAAGGAGCCTCGAATATCGCCGACGCACTGACCCGCCCCACTGCCCAGATCCATGCGGTACTACTCGCCCAGACCAGCCCGCTACTGACAGGACTATTTACCCACGGATATCAAACAGACCCATTCTTCACGGGAGGAAACTCACAGCAATTCGCAGCAGCCAAGGGAGTCTATTACGTAAAAGCTGGAACCGACCGCATATGGGTACCAAGGTACACGCTACTACGGGAACTACTGTTACAGGAGGCACACGACGGAGTTACCTCTGGACATTTCGGAGTAGAGAAAACACGGCAGCAGCTGCAGCGGTACTATTACTGGCCTGAGATGTTGACCGACGTGCAACGACACGTGGCATCGTGCCCCACTTGCCAGCTCATGAAGTCAACCAGGAAGCGGCCGGCGGGACAATTACAACCAATCCCACCTCCAGAGCGTGCTTGGCAGCAGGTGACGATGGACTTCGTCACGGGGTTACCGGCCGGGGCGAGTGGGAATGACGCGATCCTGGTCGTCGTCGATCGACTGACGAAAATGGCACACTTCGCAGCCTGCAGGAAATCAATCACAGCCGAGGAAACAGCCCGACTCTTCATCACCACCGTCGTTCGACTGCACGGGATACCCGCGTCGATCATCAGCGACAGGGACACGAAGTTTACCAGTAATTTCTGGCGGAACCTGTGGCAGCAGTTCGGCACGCGACTACAATTCAGTTCATCGTATCACCCCGAAACCGACGGACAGACAGAACGGACAAACCAGACCATGGAGCAGCTCATTCGAGCCACGTGCGACGATCCCAACACGTGGGAGCAGCAGCTGCCACTCATCGAGTTCGCATACAACAACGCGCCATCTGCCACGACCCAACAGCCACCATTTTACTTGAATTACGGACAGGACCCAACAGTACCCATGACCCCAAACCCCGACAATCCCGTTCCACGCGCACAACAGTTCGCCGAGATTTTGCAAGCAGCACGGACCAGGGCAGCAGAAGCAATCAAAAAATCAAATATCATCGCTAAACGCAACGCCGATCGCCACCGCAGACCCGTCACTTATCAGCCCGACGACCTCGTTTTACTCGACACTCAGAACCTCCGCCTGCCCATCACTCCCAAACTCCGCCCCCGATACTGTGGGCCATTTCGAATTAGCCACATGATCACACCTGTCACCGCGCACCTCCTCCTCCCTGCTGACTGGTACGTCAGCCCCTCGTTCCACGTCAGCCTACTCCGCCCTTACGTACCATCCACCAGCCAACTCCCACGACATCGACCATCCAGCATGGCACGACCGCCAACCGAACCGATCATCACCCCCGACAAAATCTTGAGCCACAGAGTTCGCGACCCTCGAGGAGCCCGAAAAGTCGAGTTCCTGATCCGCTGGAAAGACCGTACACCCACCGAGGACAACTGGGTTCCCCTGGACAGAATTGAAAACCACCCTGTCTTCACCGAATATCTGCGCAGCCGAAACTTCAAAGACGTCCACGCGCTTTCGTAAGGAGGACCTCCTTAGGAGGGGGGGTAGTGTAAGGAAAATCCCTTTTCCTTACTTCGCATCCCTGCTCAACGCGTACATCACTGTAGCACCTCAGTCAGCACCGTTACCACTCGCGACCATCGCATCGATAATCATCCCGCCATTTTCGCACATCGCATCCCGACCTCACGGCTCGGCTGGTAACCCGCGCTCCGGGCCTACGCTTCGACACTTTCCCAAACCTCAGTCCCAGGCTCGTCGCGCGACTACCACAGACCATTAACGTTACCACTGTAGTTTCGCTATATATTCTTCGCTCATGCCTTCGCTCATTGTGTTCTTGCTTCGATAGTGCAATTCTCGTTCGCTCACTCAATTGCACTCGTAACACTTTCACACCTGTCTGCTCGAATTCGACTCTCGTTTGGTTCTTGCTTCTTGGTTCTTGCTTCTTGCTTCTCCCTCCAAATCCGCCCATTCCCACCCAATCCTGCAGTCGCGCCTTACCTACCGTCTAGCTATCCCTTACTCCTTTCCGTCGCCTCTCCCTCTCACCCCGCCGTCGCGCTCCTTCCCACCCCGCCATCGCGTCTCTCTCCCTCCTAGCCGCCGTCGCCGCTCCCTCCCATCCCGCCATCGCCCCTCCCTCCTTCCCAGCTGCCGCCGCTGCACCCTCCCATCCCGCCGCCGCCTCTCCCTCCTCCCGCCGTCGCCCCTCCTTCCTCTCCACCGTCGCCTCTCCCTCCTCCCCGCCGTCGCCTCTCCTTCCTCTCCGCCGTCGCCTCTCCCTCCTCTCCGCCGTCGCCTCTCCTTCCTCTCCGCCGTCGCCTCTCCCTCCTCTCCGCCGTCGCCTCTCCCTCCTCTCCGCCGTCGCCCCTCCCTCCTCTCCGCCGTCGCCTCTCAATCCTCCACACCGTCGCCTCTCCCTCCTCCCCACCGTCGCCTCTCTTTCCTCCCCACCGTCGCCTCTCCCTCCACCCCACGTCGCCTCTCCCTCCTCTCCGCCGTCGCCCCTCCCTCCTCTCCGCCGTCGCCTCTCAATCCTCCACACCGTCGCCTCTCCCTCCTCCCCACCGACGCCTCTCCCTCCTCCACACCGTCGCCTCTCCCTCCTCCCCACGTCGGCTCTCCCTCCTCTCCGCCGTCGCCTCTCCCTCCTCCCCGCCGTCGCCTCTCCTTCCCACCCGCGATCGCCTCCGGCGACAGGTGCACGAGCGCAAGCACGGGCTGGTGCGCGGAGCGCGGGTAGGTGCGCCAGCGCGGGTTTTTTTCTGAGGCACCGTAGTTGTCAGGTGCGTTCCTGGTCCTTTCATCCTCCTTCCCCCCTCTGAAATTCCCTTTTTTTTTTTGCCCTGTGTCAATTGGTCTCCTCTTGCATTGCACTTTCATCTGACGAAGGGGAGAGGCGAAGCGCGAGGGAGAGCGTGTGCACGGGAGCGAACGCGCAGGAGAGAGCGAAGGAGAGAGCGCAGGAGAGAGCGCTTGAGAGCGCGCGCGAGAGAACGCGTGAGAGAGCGCGTAAGAGAGCGCAGGAGAGGGCGTGAGAGAGCGCATGAGCGCGTGAGGGAGCGCATGAGAGAACGCGTGAGGGAGCGCGTGAGAGAGCGCGTGAGAGAGCGCGTGAGGCTGCGTATGAGAGAGCATGTGAGAGAGCGCGTGTTAGAGCGTGAGAGAGCGCGTGAGAGAGCGCGTGAGAGAGCGCATGAGAGAGCGCGTGAGAGAGCTCGTGAGAGTGGCGTGAGGGTGCGCGTGAGGGTGCGCGTGAAAGAGCGCGTGAGAGAGGGCGTGAGAGAGCTAGTGAGGTTGCGTATGAGAGAGCATGTGAGAGAGTGCGTGTTAGAGCGTGGGAGTGCGCGTGAGAGTGTGCGTGAGGGAGCGCGTGAGAGAGCGCGTGAGAGAGCGCGTGAGAGAGAGAATGCGCGTGAGAGAGAGAATGCGCGTGAGAGTGCGCGAGAGAGAATGCGCGAGAGATTGTGCCTGAGAGTGCGCATGAGAGAGCGCGTGAGTGTGCGCGTGCGCCTGAGAGAGAGCGTGAGAGAGCGCGTAAGGGAGCGCGTGTGAAAGCATGAGAGTGCGCGTGAGAGAGCGCGTGAGAGAGCGCGTGAGTGAGCGCGTAAAAAAGCGCGCGAGAGAGAGAGAATGCGCGTGAGTGCGCGAGAGAGAGCGCGTGAGAGTGTGCCTGAGAGTGCGCGTGAGAGAGAGCGTGAGAGAGCTCGTGAGGGAGCGCGTGAGAGAGCGCGTGAGAGAGCGTGTGAGGTTGCGTATGAGAGAGCATGTGAGAGAGCGCGTGTTAGAGCGTGAGAGTGCGTGTGAGAGTGTGCGTGAGAGAGCGCATGAGAGAGCGCGTGAGATAGCGCGTGAGAGAGCGCGTGAGCGAGAGAATGCGCGTGAGAGTGCGCGAGAGAGAATGCGCGTGAGAGTGTGCCAGAGAGTGCGCGTGAGAGAGCGCGTGATAGAGCGCATGAGTGTGCGCGTAAGAGAGCGCGTGAGTGTGCACGTGAGAGAGCGCGTGAGAGAGCGTGTAAGGGTGCGCGTGAGGTTGCGCGTGAGGGTGTGCGTGAGAGAGCGCGTGAGAGAGCGCGTGAGGGAGCGCGTGTGAGAGCATGAGAGTACGCGTGAGAGAGCGCGTGAGTGAGCGCGTGGAAAAGCGCGTGAGAGAGAGAATGCGCGTGAGAGTGCCCGAGAGAGAGCGAATGAGAGTGTGCCTGAGAGTGCGCGTGAGAGAGCGCGTGAGAGAGCGCGTGAGGGAGTGCGTGAGAGAGCGCGTGAGAGAGTGCGTGAGAGAGCGCGTGAAAGAGTGTGTGAGAGAGCTTGTGAAAGGGCGAATGAGCTTGCTGTGGCGTAGGCACTAGCATCTATTCTACTGGTGCTTGGGAAACTGGGGCTACTTATACAAATGAGGCTTGCACTAGCGCTTAGAGTGCCTGCTTCTAAGGTGTTGACGCCTCAGACACTCGTATAGGCCGCTGGCAACTAGCGAACTAGTGCCAAGCACGCTCGCGCAACGCGCTCTAACGCTTGGGCGCTGGCATGGCACCTAATGTGCCGCACCTGAAGCGCTAGCGTCATGGCCTTTGGTCTTTTTTCTTTCTTGTACAGTGTGTGATCATACACTGTTTTTTGGGCAAGGTGTGCTGTTGCTATCTCTGTTTCGGCTTTCTTGTGCAGGGCGTGTATGTGTTGACTTCTATGTTTTTGCTTTGTGCAGGGCGTATGTGTGTTGACTTCTCTGTTTTTGCTTTGTGCAGGGCACGTGAGCTGAGAAGGGAGATGAGGGAGGGAGTGGGATGGATATGAGGGAAGGAGGGAGGGAGGCAGGGCTGACGTTTGAAATTTAGGTACCCTGATGTCCACCTAAAAAAAAAAAATTTAACCCTGAAGGCATATTTTCCAGAAAAGCAGCACCCTGATTGCTCAGTGTTGGGAAGTTATACAGTCTGAGTGTTCAGGGTCGAGAAGTCAGGATCAGAGTACGTGTAGTAACGCGCTGTGCATTATCGAAACTGATTGACAAGTCAAGACGGGTTTGACTCACCAGTTTGACCCTCACTAGTGAGTGATGAAGACTCACTTTATGCTTCACCACTCACTCGTGAGGGTCGAGATTCTCAATGGTGGTGGGTGCATCGGAACGAAATTTAAAACCTGTAGCCTGAATTACAGAAACTGTTGGGGGTGTTAACACTTTCCCTCCCAAACCTGGGTGGTTACCAGGGTTCGAACCAGTTTGCCGTGAGGAAGTCGCACGCAACACAGGGAAGGATCGCAAGGGTCCCTGGCAACGACTTCAGCTATGGGTGTGCATACCAAGCAGGAAATTGTAATTCAGGTCGACAGAAATCGACCAGTTCCTAGCCTAAAAATAGCCTGGCGTTCTGCTTAGACCTGGCTTTTTCTCTCCAACTAGTGCAGTCTCAATCGCGATCCGTGCACATTAGCACTACTCCCTCCGTCGCCTACGCTCATCCCTCCCGTCGCGGATTCATTTTCTCAACCGTTTGCAACGCTCACTTCCCTCCCGTCGCCTTCGCTCTTTCCGCTCCATCGTCCCCTCTATCACGATAAAGCGGGGGGGGGGGGGGGAGGGGGGGAATGATTACGCACATGGTACGCGCTGGCTATAGTGCAACCAATCCGAAGGGGGGGTTATGGGAAGAAAATTTCCTCGAAACTTCTTCTCGATAAGGTCAAATTCAGGGACCACAGATTCGATACTCTGTACAGTCAGACTCCGGAAACGACTAAGTCTGAAGCCTATTACATGTAATCAGGGGCCCCAAAACATTAAGTCTCATGCATTCAGTGATGAAAATTAGACTAGTCTGGAAATCCATTTTCCACCAAGTGCAAGGTCTGATTCGTCAGACTAATCAGACTAAATAGTCTGATAGCGTCAGCCCTGGAGGGAGGGTTGTAAGGAGGGTAAGGTGGGATAGGCTAGCAATCATTTATGCAATCTGAATTTTATTCATGAAGGTTGCGTGTTTATTGCGGTCTCTGTATCCATCTGTGGTTGTTTGTGTCAGAACTTATAGCTTACTTGTTTCTGTAGGCTATAGTGGGGTATCCCATAGGGGGTACAACCCAATTAGGGTTTCCTATTTGTACTCACTTCGTTCATAGTCATTTCATTCTCGTTCTTTGTTTCCACATGGAATCAGAGCAGGTTCCCTCCTAGGGACTGCTTCTAGGGCCCACCGAACCGCGCCCCGAGGCGCGTTTTTTTTTTAGCGACCCGTCGTGTCGCCCCTAGCGGACCGTTGCGCCGCCCTTCCCCTCGCGGCTCCGCCGCCCTTCCCTAGCGGCCCCGCCGCCCTTCGATCGCGGCCCCGCCGCCCTCTGCTACGCGGCCCCGCCGCCGCCCTTCGATCGCGGCCCCGCAGCCCTCGGCTACGCGGCCCCGCCGCCCTCTGCCTCGCGGCCCCGCCGCCCTCTGCTACGCGGCCCCGCCGCCCTCTGCTACGCGGCCCTGCCGCCCTCTGCTACGCGGCCCCGCCGCCCTTCGATCGCGGCCCCGCCGCCCTTTGCCACGCGGCCCCGCCGCCCTCTACTACGCGGCCCCGCCGCCCTCTGCTACGCGGCCCCGCCGCCCTTCGATCGCGGCCCTGCCGCCCTCTGCTACGCGGCCTCGCCGCCCCCTGCTACGCGGCCCCGCCGCCCCCTGCTACGCGGCCCCGCCGCTCTCTTCGGTCGCGGCCCCGCCGCCCTCTGCTACGCGGCCCCGCCGCCCTCTGCTACGCGGCCCCGCCGCCGCTCTCTTCGGTCGCGGCCCCGCCGCCACTCTGCTACGCGGCCCCGCCGATCCGCCCAGCAGCAGCCGCCGCCGCCTGAGCCGCCGCCGAGCCGCCGCCGAGCCGTCGCCGAGCCGCCGCCGAGCCGCCGCCCGAGCCGCCGCCGAGCCGCCAGAGCCGCCGCCGAGCCGCCCGTGACGCCCGAGCCGCCCGCGCCGCCCAGCAACAGCCGAGCCGCCGCCGAGCCGCCGCCGCCTGAGCCGCCGCCGAGCCGCCGCCGAGCCGCCGCCGAACCGCCGCCGAGCCGCCGCCCGAGCCGCCGCCGAGCCGCCCGCGCCGCCCGAGCCGCCTGCGGAGCCGTGCTGCTGTTCCTCTGCTGCTGACCTACCCGCCTCTCCCAGCCCGGTGAGATTTTCAGCTGCTGTCATGGCCACCCCCAATGTTCTTACCTTTGACGCTGAGGGGAGGGCCATTGACTTTGCCGTCTGGATTGAAGACCTGCAGCTGTACAGCAGCAACAGCAGCAGCAGCCGCAGCAGCAGCCACAGCAGCAGCAGCGCTCTCGCACCGTCCCCGCCCCTCAGCAGCTCCGTGAGTGGTACTCGCAGCGTCAGCGCGGTGGTGCGCTTGGTCCTTGCCCCTACGTTCTCCGCACCGGTGACCGTGCAGGGGAGAGGTGTGGAGGCGCCCACACTGCCCGCCGCTGCTTTGGCCGCCTGACTGACGCCTGGCGTCAGCAGTTTCCGGAGGCAGCTGAGATCCCCCGCTGGGGAGAGCTGTCTAGGGCTGGTGTAGCTATTTATGATCTTGATTTTGATGCTATTCTCTCTGCTATGTATGCTGCGATTGGTAGTGATGAGGATGACTGTTACCGGTGTTTCCCGCCCGACCCGGGCATTGGTACTGCCGCGTCAGGTACTAGTGAGGCTGCTGCTCTAGGTGCCAGTGCGTCTGTGCTCTCAGGTGCTGGTGAGTCTGCCCTCTCAGGTACTGTGTCGGCTTCGGCCTCTCACACCTTCACCCTTGACTCTGGAGCGTCTCGCTCCTTCTTTCGGGACCGCACCACTCTCACGCCGCTGAGTCGGCCGGTTGCGGTGTCCCTGGCTGACCCCTCTGGGGGGCCTGTCCTGTCTCGCTTCTCCACTGTCCTCCCGTGTCCGGCGGCCCCCTCTGGCACCCTGACTGGTCTCTACCTCCCCTCGTTCTCGACGAACTTGGTGAGTGGTGCTGACCTCCAGGATGCGGGTGTCCACCAGTTCACCCCTGCTCGTCAGCGGGTGACCCACTGCACGGAGGCGGATACAGGTCGCCACCTGGCTACGTTTACACGTCGGCCAGGGTCGAGCCTGTACACTCTGACCACTGCTTCTCCTCCAGGTGCTGAGTCTGGTAGGGTCACTTCGTCTGGTCAGGTGTTTGCTGCAGCGTCCAGGTCTGGTCCTGAGTCTGCCCCCTGCTCGTGCCGTCGTTTGTCTCACGAGACCCTCCTCTGGCACCACCGCCTTGGCCACCCCTCTCTGCTTCGGCTCAGAGGCATGGCCTCGCGAGTCCTTGTGTCTGGTCTTCCCCGGTCTCTCCCTCCCCTTCCTCCGGGCCCTGGCCCCACCTGTGTCCCCTGTGTCGAGGGGCGCCAGCGTACTGCCCCTCACTCCTCCCAGTTTCCTCCGACAGAGGCCCCGTTGCAGACGCTTCACATGGATGTGTGGGGCCCAGCCCGCGTCCGTGGACAGGGTCAGGAGCGCTACTTCCTGCTGGTGGTTGACGACTACTCGCGTTACACCACAGTCTTCCCCTTGCGCAGCAAGGGTGAGGTCACTGCGGTGTTGATCGACTGGATCCGCGCAGCTCGTCTCCAGCTTCGGAGGAGTTTTGGCTCTGACTTCCCTGTTTTGCGTCTGCACTCGGACAGAGGCGGAGAGTTCTCCTCTGGCCTCCTGCGTGCCTACTGTCGTGCGCGAGGCATCCGTCAGACCTTCACGCTTCCGGACTCACCGCAGCAGAATGGGATTGCTGAGCGCCGCATTGGCATGGTCATGGACGTCGCTCGTACGTCCATGATGCATGCGGCTGCTCCCCATTTTCTGTGGCCGTTTGCGGTCAGGTACGCTGCGCACCAGATCAACCTCCACCCCAGGGTCTCTCGACCGGAGACCTCCCCAGCCCTGCTGTGGACGGGGAAGGTTGGCGATGCGTCGGCGTTCCGGGTCTGGGGATCTCGGGCGTTTGTTCGCGACCTGTCTGCGGACAAGCTATCCCCTCGTGCTTCTCCCTGCGTCTTCCTGGGGTTCCCCCCCGACGCCCCTGGGTGGCAGTTTTACCACCCCACCTCTCGACGTGTTCTGTCCTCCCAGGACGTCACGTTCGACGAGTCGGTACCCTACTACCGCCTCTTCCCCTACCGCACTCCGTCCCTCCCCCCACCCCCGCTCTTCTTGGTACCAGGTCCCCCCCCGGTAGTCCCCCTCCCCCCTCAGGGTCCTGCCCCTTCAGGTGTGTCCCAGGTAGACGCGGTCGAGCCTGTCGAGGTCACTGGTGACTCTGGTGCTGCTGCGGGAGCTGAGCCTGGGGGTGCGGAGTCTGGGGGTGCTGAGCCTGGAGGTGCCGAGTCTGGGGGTGCTGAGCCT